AATGAGGCAAGTGAACCACTTTTAGCTCGCATGTTCTGCATGACATAGTAGTCCTGGACAGGTCAATGTGACGTTCTGCTTCTAGGACAGGTTCAACATGGTGATGTCCATTTACAGTAAAAAGGCTTATTTTGGGGACCTAGAATATCATAAAATACAACGACCTTTCTTCTCCACAATTTGTGAACAGAGTGCTGAAAGAAGACAGCAGAAACTAGGGGATGTGGGAACCATCAGGGTGACGAGCAATGACACCTGGAAAAAGTGGCTGTACGATCAAAAGCGCATCACCAAGGGGCACAAGGGCACACCGTTTGTTCCAGCCACTAAGAGGGACGCGCTTGCAGTGACCAGTGGTTGGTAGAGTTTAGATACATATAGCACTGATATCTTCATTGCAGCTCTATTGGTGAGGATAACTACTCGTGTCTAATCCCTTTGAACATGCAATACAGAGGGACTGGTCTATTTCAAAAAGACTCATACAAATACAAAATGTGTTTAAAGTTAAAACTTTCGATCCAACACAAAAATTCTCTCACCTAGAGCTTTCAACCAGTCACTCTGGTCTTCCTCAGTAGACTGACCCAGTGAAGCTTGTCACGTGGCTTCTTTGAAGTGTGACGTCAACACTGGGTCAAAGGTATCTGGTAGACGATGTCGGCCCCCGTCGCGGTTCAATGTAGGGTGATGGGCCCTGATGTAAATGGCTTCCTTCACCCCTCTCAAGAAATAGTCTTGTTCAGTGTCTAAAATCCTTACAGTGTCAAGTGAGACATGGTGTCCGGGTGACTCTATGTGAATGTGTTGAGACACCTCTGAACTGGCAGAACTAGGCCGTGTATGTTCCTGAAACCTGGCTTTTAGAGACCTCTCCGTTTCACCAATATAAGTTTCCTGGCAGGGCCCCCTGTTGTTCTTGCCCTGACAGGGGATGTGGTAGATGACACCACACTTCCTCTCTTTGGGGGTTTTATCCTTGGGCGCAACAAGAATGTGTCTTAAAGTAGTGGTTGGTTTAAAACAAGTTGCAATCCCATGGGAAATGAAAATCCTCCTGAGAGTTTCAGACAAGTCCTTGATGTATGGCAGGACCACCAACCCCTTGGACTTTGTTCCTGCTGAGGGTTTGGTGTTAGGAGGTTTTGGGCAGGTCGCTTTGTTGATGGCCCACTGGGGGTAGCCACAAGTTTTTAATGCCTGGGTCAGGTGGGACTTCTCAGTCTCTAAATCCTGTGGATCTGACACTATGGTGTTGGCTCTGTGAAATAGAGTCCTAATCACCCCTAGTTTGTGGTCAAGTAGATGGTTAGAGTCAAAGTTTAGGTATTGATCCGTGTGTGTGGGTTTCCGGTAAATCTGTATCTGTAGTGACCCAATCCTCCTGTATGACTGTAAGGGTGTCAAGAAAAGGTAAAGATCTGGTTGACTGGTTGAAAGCTCTAGGTGAGAGAATTTTTGTGTTGGATCAAAAGTTTTAACTTTAAACATGTAACTACCAACACAGATGAACTTTCATGATAAATTCAAAATGTATTTTGAAATCTAATAACATTCTAGTTTATGACTTTGATCATGTATGTTATCTTGTAAATAAAAGACACCATGATATACTGAGAGAAAGAGATACCTGGTATACAATATGAAAACTGAGTCTGAGGAGAAAGTTTTAGTAAAACAGTTTCAGGGAGTGAATTTCCTACCAGCCCTCTGCTTTCATTTTCATCCACACCTTTAGCTATTTATTTTCTCTAAAATGTCTGAGGAGCAAGAAAATTAACTGGTGTGGAATAAGGGAAGAGACCTGTAGAATCCTGATACAGAGGTTTTTCGTTAACATTATAATAATTATGATGTGAACCTAATGTGAACTGTTTGCAGATTAGTCACTAAGTTGACTACAGCAGCAGCATGTTTAACAGACATACACTGTAATACATCATGACCTCAAATGTATAACTTCCTTGTGCTCTGCCCTACAGGTCAGTACACCATGGTGACCACTCGGATGGGCCAGAACATTCCTGTGGCGGGCAGCTAATCTCCAAGCAGATCATACGGTGGCAAGGCAGTATCAATTGGCCAGAGGAGTGTCCATTAGCCACCGAAGATCTGCCTGCAGTCGAAACGTCAAAGGCTATTAACACCTAGTTGTTGCCTACTCAGAATGTGTTTGCCAAGTAGTTTATTGCCCTAACCACCGGGCAAGGCTATTGTCCTCCTTGTGGGGCTGCATGGTTGACCGTTACAGGAAGTCTGTCTATGGGTCACAACACCAACTGTTATACATGTATTGGGCAGTTTAAACAATGGATCCGGAGGAGAAGGTTCACCTTGTGTTTTGTAATGTCTGGCATGGGGTTTTAAATTTTAACCATAAGTATCCATTTCCATGTTTCAGAAAGCATCACAGTGCCAGCATACAGAATTGTATCTGATTCAGTTAGGGGGGGAACTCCCACTGAGATGTGCGCGGGTGACTGAATTTGTCCCAGATTCAAGCTATAAACCGCTTGTAAAAACCTTAGCGTGGCCAGTTTTTCAATTGCTGTTAATAGGGGCACAAGGAGGGGCAGCAACACCATTTTTGAAAGGAAGTGCTCCTCCCTGTGCGAGTGCAGGCAGATCTTCGGTGGCTAATGGACACTCCTCTGGCCAATGGATACTGCCTTGCCACCGTATGATCTGCTTGGAGATTAGCGGGCAGCTGGGCCAGCTTTGTCCGCAGGTGGAGGTGGACCACGGGCATGACTCGCGGCGTGCTGGAGGTCAAGTGTCGCACAGAGGACGCCATCAGGGAAATGGGGTTCCAGATCCAGCCTTATCCTGTCATCTTATCCATGAACAACAACATCCCAGATGGTACCAGCAGGGAGGTGAGGCAAGCAAGCACCGGGGATCTAGAGATTCAGCTGCATCCTGTGAACAACAACAAGGTGGGAGAAGTCCCGACAGCTAGCGTCAGCAGAGGGGTTCAGTATTCTAGTGTGGATGGTTGGGAGATCCCATGCAATCACAGCTGTGAAAGCACTGTGGTGAACCCAGCTCCAGAATCGGAAACGTTCGACAACACCAACATGGGTGCATCCAACATCCAGGTGGAGATGAATTTGCTCAATGGTGGGAGCCGAAGGGTCCAGCTGCCTGAAGACAGTACAGCTAGAGATGCCCAGGTGAAACCATTGGAATCTTCTGTTGAAGAAACAGCCATGACCGACATGGAGGTAACAGAGTTGTCTGGAAGCACAGAGCCAGGACCAGGTGCCATGGAAACCACAGCCTGCAGCGCCAGTAGAGAGGTCAAGGCTGAGGACTTGGTGAAGAAGACAGAGGAAGATTCTGAGTACAAACCTAACATCTGGCAGTTACAGCACGAACTTATCGATCTCACGGCTGATGACGAGCCTGAGGTAGTTGACCTTACTACTGACAACTACCTCCCAGATGTCTACGAGGTGAAGTTCACCACTAAGATTGAGGTGGTCTACCTTGAGGAAGAAGAAAACAATAACACATCATTACCCATGCAAACATAGCAAATTCAAAGTTCATTTTCTCAGGTTGATGTTGTAACCAACTTTAATTGATTTACTGCTGAGGAATGCATATTGCATGAAATTGGCAGTAGCCATATACTTTCTTCCAGTTTTCGAAAGAAATCAAACTCTCTACAAAGTAACGTTACATGGGAGCACGGCCTGGTTTACAATGTTGGCCACGCTTGCAGGAAAACAGTACAATTCTATCTGAGGGAGGGAACGCAATTTGACATTGGTCTATGTTTTGGCTGTGACATTGGTCTATGTTTCTGGAAGACTGAGATTGCCATCATTTTTGCCAAGGTGAAGTTGACTTGGTGATGGTGCTGAAAAGTCCTAAGTGCTGCTGTGTATACTTCAAGTTTAGTTCAGCTGCACACTCTTAGTCTTAATTATTTGTTATTTTTGTTAAAGGAGCTTAGTTAGTTTAATGTCATAGTCAGTTCCAGGTATGACATTTCTGAGTGTGTCTATTTAGAAGTGAAGACCCTACTGGCTGTGATTTTGATGCAAACTACAGAAGGATCAGGAAATTAAAGCACATATGAGGTGCATTTGAAAAGTTCATGACTTCTCCTAGAAACAAGTAACAATCACATACTCTCTCAAATTTCAGCCCAAAGTTGTGGATGCACGATAACCTTATCATTTTCATGTCAACCTTCTTCTTGAGTTCTTGTTCACCATGGTTACCAACTGTAGGGCAGCAGATTAGTTTGACGAAGTACAAGGACTTAAAACCTACCATATTGAAGTAAACACAATACAACTGAATATGAGTTGACTGAAAGACTTTAGAGTTGTTAAAATCTATTTTGTTAAACTTGGAATTCATCATAGTGCCCAATCAATATTACTATATAACAAAGCTTTCTTGTAAAGTATTGCATTCTTTAGAAAAAGAGATGTTATCAATAAAAGATTTCCAGACTTTGCTTCCCATGTAATCTCTTAATATCCCACACAATAGTCCTGTCAACATACCTTATAGATAAAGCCAACTACAATCTCTAAAACAAGTAATCAAACGAGGCTTGTGCAAAAACTTTCAAGACCTTTATTGAATATTTAGTTTTTGGAACTTTGAAGAACTTAATTGAATATTTAGTTATTGGCCATGCAAGAATGTTACTTGTTAGATCTGTTACACACTCTGTCTAGCCTGGGTACCATCCTACTTGTATGCCGGGGCTCCCACACTCGCTTCCCTAAGAAGCGAGTTTGGGAGCCCCGTTATACAAGTAGGATGGTACCCAGGCTACACTCTGTCAGATACCAGTGAAAAATAAAGTAGAGAAGAGACATGCTTATAACGCGTTCACGAGTCACTGGAACCAGACTGCTTTAACCCTACAAGTTTCTCGCTGATTTCCCAGAGTTTCTTGGCGACTCCGTCGTCCGTGGCAACCTGATCCAGCGAGCTCTCCTGACACTGGCGGAAGTACCTCCCAGTCACCCCCTCCAACTCCTCAACTATAGCGGCGTACAGGACCGTCTGTGCCCCCTCCCACGGCGTTCCTACCAGAAACATCGCTAACGGCGCGAAGAGCACCTTTTTCCAGAGCGGGTGACTGACATGGCGACCTAGATTGGTCCAGACCATCCCGGGGGAGACGGAGTTTACCGTCACGCCTGTCCCCTCCAGCCGCCTGGCGAGCTCGTGCGTGAACAAGTTGTTGGCAAGCTTGCTGTTTGCGTACCCAGCTGATCTGTCGTAGTAGATTTCTCCATTGAGGTTGTGGAAGTCAATCTTCCCCCGGCGGTAGAGTTGTGAGGAGAGGACCACGACTCGGCTGGGGGCGGAACACTTCAGCAGGTCCAGCAGCAGGGAGGTCAGGAGGAAATGGCCCAAGTGGTTCACTCCAAACTGTAGCTCGAAACCGTCTTCCGTCGTCAGGAACGGAGTCTGAAAGACGCCCGCGTTGTTGATGAGGACGTCTAATTGCGATTCTTCCCTCAGAATCTCCTCGGAAAACTGCCTGACAGAAGCGAGTGAGCCTAGATCGAGCTGTTTGACGACAAGATCGCCATCTGAGGTGTGTTTACGGATGTCAGCGACCGCTTGTTGTCCCTTCTGCACGTCCCGACACGCCATGATGACTCGAGCTCGACGCCTGGCCAGCTCCGTGGCCGTGGCCTTCCCGATCCCACTGTTCGCTCCAGTGATCAAAACGGTCTTTCCCGCCATGACTCGTCTGCTTCTGCAGATGCCGGGGTGGAAGTAGAAGCGCCTGACCAACACCAGGGCCACACCGGCGCCTAAAACTACAGCGGGGACCGCCAGATCCTGCATGGATGGCGCCATGTTGGCTGTGGTTAACCTTTCAACTTTGAACTTTCTTCCTAGAGAGAAGAGTGTTCAGTGTTTGGCCAAGGACATGAGCGGGATCATGAGAACATTGCAATGCGAACGATCTTTACTGGTGATTCTGTTTCCTTTATATTATGAGTAACATTTGAGCGTAATAGAATTAGGCAATCGAATTAGAAGTACTAAAATTTTCTGTAAGCAGGTACTGGGCAAAGCGCCACATAGCAGTTAGATGAAGTATTGCAGGACCGAGGAACCAAAGGTCAGCGGGTCGAACAGGTAGCCTATCCGTCATCTGGTAACAACACAGCGCTGCGTTCACCTTTTACCCACTGAACCACTCCCAGGTTTTCTCAGACCGAACTTTAACCCCACCAGGGTGGTTGTCCTGCTGCATGGCGACCCTGGGCAAGCTGTTGGGCGCTACGAGACACGTAGTAGGAGGTGAGCCTTCAGTTGTTTCACCCCTCCCCCTTTCACATGTCCACTAAAATTCCAGCTAGCTGTTGTGCAACAAATAAAGGACTCACGTGTGGCTTGTTTCAGTGCCTTTTTGAAACGTCCATAGTATAAATGATTATCCCTGAAACTGCTAACTCTTAGCCTAGAGTAGTAGGCTATCAACACTTATCCCCATAAATTGGGAAACTAAAGTTACATCATTATTAAAGAAATGTAATGTTAACATATACACCATCCTGTCAGAAAAGGATGCAGCTGTTCGTCACTTACAAGTTAAACCTGTAATATCATAAGGTTTTATTTTTCCCCAGCAGCTATCAGAGTTAGTCAGGTTAGAGCGACGTTCCAGCGCGGGATGTCAGGGTACCAGTTTGAGTCGCTGGCGGTGACCAGGCCGCGGGAACATGTCATGCAGGTCGAGATGAACCGGCCCGAGAAGAGGAACGCCATGAACCAGGCCTTCTGGAGGTAACGGAGAACGCACCATTTTTTTTTTGGGGGGGGGGGGAAGAGGGCATAACTGGCTAATGGTGTAAGACAGTTTAAGTTCTATACTGAACTGGTCCTGCTGCCTTACATCACGACCTTTCATCTGAAGTGTCCGTAATTTAACAATACTGTACATTGTATTTGTGACAATTGTAAACTGTGCATACCACAACCGGTAACTGGCTCATCCTGTGATGACTTCAACCTAACAAGATATGCCTACCTTGAAATGCAGCTGTTTGGAAACTGAAACCTTCCATGTCCATTCATACTATTTCTGTGTCCCTTGTACAGAGAAATGGTGGAATGTTTCCAGGCCATCGCCGCAGAGCCTGATATCAGAGCAGTGGTCGTGTCAGGAGCAGGGAAGATCTTCACTGCAGGTGAGATGGCCAATCTGTCTGGATTTTGACTGGACTTGGGTGATTGAATGAATTCTCTGCTTGTGGAGTGAGCAGATGTGTCTGAACATCTTTTGTATCTAAGCATTTTTGGTTTTAATGTTTATAAATGGTTCCCATTGTTCCTCCCCACAGGATTAGACCTGGGTGATACAATGAGTTCCCTGTTTGTGGAGGGAGCTGACATTGCCAGGAAGGCCATCAGACTCGGACCCAAAATCAGACAGTACCAAGAAACCTTCAGTGTCATTGAGAAGGTCAGGAGCCTTTCTACTACAACTACAACTACCCTATAACTACAAGGGACTGATTATTCAGCATGAATGCTCAACTGCATCAGTAAAAAAAATGTTATTGTCAAGCATTGTCGAACAATAACAGCGAACAGTACAGTGAGTTGTATAAGCTGTATAAGCTAGTTCATGGTTTGAAGTGCATCACACTTTGCATTTGCACTTCAGACTGTGAAGAAGCTAATTACTTTCTTTTTGTTTGTGTATTTCTCAGTGCCCTAAGCCTGTGATAGCTGCAGTCCACAGTGCATGTGTAGGTGGAGGGGTGGACCTGATCACTGCTTGTGATATCAGACTGTGCACCCAGGATGCCTGGTTCCAGATAAAGGTGAGGATGACAACTACATGTACATAAATACATAGTGGTGGTGCTGTCTGAACTTACATCAACACCACAACTAAACAAATAGACAAAGAGTATATGAACACACGAGAAACAAATGCAAATATAATGCAGACATAAACTATAGAACAAACTAATTACGAAGGTGCCCTAATGCTGCCAATTGATGGAATATTTAGTAGCACCTTTCATATCTGTCTCAGTTTCTCATGATCAGTAAAGATGATGGAAGATGAATATCACTTTGTACTTGAATGTCCTTTTTATAACAAGCTAAGGAAGCGACTACTTCCCGATTTTTATGCACAGAGCCCTGATCCCCACAAATTTGTAGCTTTGTTGGCCGGCCCAACGGTTTCTCTTACAAGACAGTTGGGGAAGTATCTGTACACTGCATTTGAATCAAGATATAATTTCCTTAAATGATAGTGAAGTAGACATCCTTGTAAATTGGTTTTATATTCTGGTCTTGCTTAGTATTTTGTATTTGTTTGTACAGATGTTTTTATGAAATGTATTGTTTTAACGTAATTGGTGTATTTAGTGTAATGTCTCTTGTTATGTACATGTATTGATTAATTGTAATTTTAAAACTGTATTGCTGTAGCCCAAGGTGGCCAAAAGCAAAGAAATAAAGTTCAGTTCAGTTCAGTAAAGCACCTCATGGTTTAACAAGCTTGAGAGTTGGTGCTTAGAGTTGGTGAGTAGAAACTGTGGTAGGACTGATAGGTTTGAGCCACTCGCACTCTGGGACATACTCCTACTCTTATCAATAAGTGTGGTAGGTTATTTCATGTGCTGCAGTATTTACAGTACCATTTAGATACACAAATGAAGGCTGTTAAAAGGACAGCCATCCATGTTTTTGGATTATTATGGTGTCCATGTTCTAATACCTGCATGCAGGAGGTTGACATCGGGTTGGCTGCTGATGTGGGCACCCTGCAGAGACTGCCTAAGGTCATCGGGAATGACAGGTACGGATTCTATCTCACCTGAGCTCACCTGGTCTTTGATAAGTACAAACATACTTAATCTATTATGTGGTACAAAGTAAATCAAGCAACTGGATAAATTCTGTTAAGAGTCAGACATTTCAGATAGCATCTACTACTACTATCCTTCATTTGTCAGTCCTAGTGTCCCTGATAATAGCTGAAATGTCTGACTCTTCAGGGAATTTATCCTGTTGCTTTGTTATTTTGTATGACATGATATTCTACCTAGATGTCTACCCTTCATCCTCTATCCATAATTTGGATCAATCTTTGAGTTGTAATCACATGTTCTTGATGAATCTACTTTATTTCCCAGCCTGGCACGAGAGCTGGCCTTCACCAGTCGCAGGTTTGAAGCAGAGGAGGCCAAGCAGATGGGTCTAGTCAGGTAGGGCTCAGTCAAGAGAAATGACAATTAAATGTATTTAAACTTTCAACAAGAGTTCTATGTTGCTGTGGAGTTTTGCAGGTTCTCTCAGTGTCGTTTCTGTCTATCCAAATTCAATCTTGCTCACACACCCCAGCCGCATATACCCTGACCGGGAGGCATTGTTGGAAGGAGCCCTGGAGTTGGCCAGTACCATCGCCAGTAAGAGCCCTATAGCTGTACAAGGGACTAAAGTCAGCATGGTGTACTCCAGGGACCACCCTGTACAGGAGGGACTGGACCATGTGGTAAGTTATAATAGCTCTGAGTCTACCAGAAAGGGTTGATATCTCTAAAAAAAATTTTATTGCCACCACTCTAAGTGACTGTTTTTTCCTTATGTGATTTGTGTTTTCCAGGCACTGTGGAACAGCACAATGCTGCAGTCGGAGGATGTTGTTGAGGCCGTGCAGGCCGGCATGCAGAAGAGGAAGCCTGAGTTCTCCAAACTGTGATCTCTGTGACCATGGGATGGCAAACAGCTTTCTCATGCAACTTATGCTATAAGGAATGTTGTGGGGCTAAGACAGAGATGACTGTCAGACGTCTGAGCGAGGTGGTTTTGGAAGCTGTGTAGTAGTGTGCAAAATAGGCGAATTCTCCTATTTTAATTGAATGCTAGTAGTACTAGTATACTGTGTTGTATCTATATTAAATATGAGATGTATTCCACATACAAATGCAGTCAATGGTCTCCAATTGTAAAACTCCACCAAGTCTTTATTTCAACTAATTGTGAAGCTTGGCAACCAAAGCTCTTCCCACATTATCATACTATGTACAAACTTCAGAGTGAAAAATTTAAAAAAAAGGAAAAATACATCCTTTTCTTCCAGTTCCATTTGTCTTGGTACAATAGATTATCTATTTTTTTCTCTGTGGTAATATCTTTAGAAATATTATACAAGTTTCCAAAAATAAGCTGATTCATGTATGAACTGCACGTGCACTGTGGGTAATATGTCAGAAGGCCCCTGAGGCATTAAACAACACGCCTGGATATGTTTCAAGCTTGGTCGAGACAAGTACTGTTTACAGGTCAGTGGCTTTGCCTTTGACCTCACACATGTGCAGTTCAAACAATGAACTGGCTTATTCCTTATTACAGCCCTGCAGTCCGTTATGTTAGTGCCATCATGGATTCTCCACTGCCATCATGGAGGCAAAGTCCTTGTAATAAATGACTCCCTTGTCAGGATCCACAGCTGCTGACAGCATTTCCTCCATCTCCTCCTGGGTAAAGGGTTCACCTGGTGAGGGGGAAACAAAGTTTTTAAAAACTATAAAATATGGTAGAAACCTAGAGTTGAGCAAAAAAACTGCAAATGTGTAAGAAGAAGGAAGTAGACAAGTCTAACCCACCATATGCACAACTAGAGGTCCTGTGACATTACGGGCTATGCTCCAAGTATGGATCCAAAGACCTAACAAGAAAGAAGATAAAGACGAGTTCTAACCCACCCTCTTCACTCATGTACTTCTGGAGCTCCTCCTGTGAGAGGAAGCCCTTCTTCTCCTGGTCCAGCACAGTGAAGGCCTTCAGCAGCATCTCCTCAGGAACCGGTTTGTACCGCCTCTCCAGCAGCACGTGTGTCATCATCTGCAGGAACTTGTCAAACCGGATGTAACCAGTTGGCTCCTCCTCCTCAATCTGGGGACAAGTGAAAGTTGCATGATTTCATGGGATTTCATTGCCATATGTATGTAAAATGTCAAATCAGTCCACTATACTTTGAGCATTGCAAAGCTGTGGTCCACTTTAACTACAGTGTATCATTAAACTACACTTTTGTCAATGTTAGAGAGAGATGCTGGTCTCACAGGGACTGCTCCAGTGTCCGGAGCAGGGTGTATTGGAGTAACTTTATCAAGTGTACCTCACCGGATTAGATCTGCAGGCATGACAAAACCTATTAAACAACCCTGGATCTCAGGCTACTATAGACTGTCTGAAGCCTGGATTTCAAGTGACTAGACGACTGGAGCCAAAGAAGCCTGGATCTCAGGATACTGTAGAAGACTGACCTCTGCTAACATGTCGTGCAGCTCCCCTTCTGTGGGACAGCACCCCAATGATCTGATGATGGTTCCAATTTCTCTACAGAAATAGAGGAGCACATATAATTAACTTCTTCCATTGATAAGGTGGACACTTGGCTGATTTTGCATCTATTCATGTACATTGTAGTAGCATCAGCACTGTCTACAGATATACAACATGTTATCTGCTTAATTGCATAAACTCTCTACAATTTGACTTCAAATACTCCTTACAGACTGATATTCAACATGGCAAACAGATTACTTCACAATAAGTGCATTGATGAACATACTGCCAGTCAGCAGTTATTTCAATTCTAAAAGAACGTCTACTTGACTTACCTGACATCTACTGTTTTGTTGGACTCGTGGTCAAAGATGTCAAAAGCTTCTGTGATTTTCTTCTGAATGTCTGCTAGCAATGTGTCTGTAAGAACAGATGATGAAATATGTTTCACACATGATTATAATGGTGAGTCGTAATGACCGGTATGTGACCGACTTTATTATCACAAATGTCCTAGTATATACATGTAAAGCAATCAGCTGACAGGAAAGTTTGTGTGAATAAATCACTGATGCAAATTTGCATGTTTTTGCTTTAGCAACGCGAAGGAGCGACGGAGAAAGACTCGTTTTAACGAAATAAACTAGTGAAATCTGATGTCGTTTACATGCCAATATCTGCTATAGACATTCCCCTACTTATCTACTTGTATAGAAAGCGCGGCGTTCCTGTAAAACGACCACATTTCGCATGTTTACCTGCGCTTGCCCCCTCCTTGTCGCCGGGTTCCGCCATGTTGTTTATAGTGACGTTTCCTACACTACGACATTCCCCTCCCCACAATGCACTGCGTGTCCGAATTTTTTTCTGGTGGAATTTGCCAGTGTGCCGCACAGTTGAGTGGGAAGCTCGTGAATAAGGCTCAGAGCTCAGGTAAGTTGTTCTGGTGGATGTTATAGCATCATTGGAGATGTTAATCTTATTTTGCATCGATTTGGGCTTGTGTAATTTGACACCACACGGTCCTTTCCATCCACGAGACTTCTCATCTTGCCCTAATTATCGCCTAGGTTTAACGCCAAGTGTGATTGGTGTACTATAGGCCCACGTGACTTAGGGCGGCAAAATAGGCCAATGAGAAGGCGCGAAACAGCAATTAAGTTCTTCGCTGGGGGTAATCGCGCCGCCGTCCGCCATTTTCTCGGCTTCTTGTTGCAGATTCTGGTCACGCGGAGCTAAGGAGGATACTTATATTTTCAAAATTGGTGGCATATTTGCATCGTTTTGTACCGAATCTGCCCATTTTAGTTTGTTCTAGTATCTAAGTCTGCCTCAGCATGTCTCTGAATCCGGCTAAGATGAAGGTGGCCGAGCTGAAGGCCGAGTTAGACGCGCGCGGCTTGGATTCGAAAGGGTTGAAAGCTCAGCTTGTGGAACGTTTGCAGGAGGCCCTGGCTGTAGAGGCTTCTCTGGAGTCTGCACCCGGCGCAGGCGGCGAGGAGGAAGAAGTGGAGGAAGCAGAAGAAGCCGGAGAGTCGGAGGAAGGCTCGGAGGAATACGAAGAAGAAGGCGGAGGGGTCGAAGAAGAGGAGGAGCCCGTCGCGGAAGAGCCCGACGCGTTCCAACAACAGCAGTACCAAGAAGAAAGCATGGAGTCTGCCGACGCCGCGGCCGCCGAGGAGCAGGGCGGATACGAACAGTACCAGGAGGAACCCCAGGTCCCCGCAGAGGAAGAACCGCAGGAGCAGTGGGGAGAAGGTAGGGACGGAATCGTGTTGTTTGAATGTGTGGAGTTGTGTTGTGTTGTGCAGTTTGTGCTTGATGCTTGCGAGAGCGCACAGACAAAGCGTGGTGTCTGCACCACGCGGACAAAGGCGTGCCGGGCAGGAAGATCTACCTACGCGTCTGGACACATGGCGCGAACGCCGAAGTACCAGGGCTGGTTGCTCTTCTATAAAGTGCACAGCTCGCAGACTGCGTTTGAAATCATGAAAATTGTCATTTTGTTTGGATTATATCATATATATATACTAGTATAGTTCCGATCGCCACTGTCGTTGCCGCTGACAAGTCTACTTTGCATAACAGTAGCACATGCACATGGAAAGCAGAACCACGCAAACAAAGGGACGACGTGCGCAGGCTGAAAATGATGCGATGGGAGGGGGGTGTCAGTAAACTTGCATATTATAATTTGCCATGGTAAGAAAATAAGACAAGCAGATATTTGGGAAATAAAGATGAATGTATATAGCTAACACGTTTGATCGCCTGGACAGAGTAAATAAAGGATATAATATATTTCGGCAGTGAGGTTTGCGTAACGGTGTGTCTGCAGAGAAAAATGAAAAGTATACAAAGATTGAAGGTGGTACATTGTAATAATACCATGTTAGAGAATGGTATGCATCCATCAGTGATTCCTCAAGTTATTTCAAAGATATGAACAGAAAGGAGGTCAGTGAATATTTATATGGCACTTACTAAAATCAATATCACAACATGTGGTCTATGAATTGGGTCAGTTCATGGATCAATTTTCAAGTCAACTGTATAAGCAAATGTGCACTAATATTAACGCTGTCTTGAACACAAGCAATGATTGTCGTTAAGAATTATCCCCATTAAGAGTTAGACCAATCCTGTAAAAGAAATTCATCCACGTAACTAATGGATAAAAAGAATGGATAAAATGCCCATTTGACATCAATAATTAATGCTAAGTGCCTCTAATGCAATTGCCATGGTTTTGCAAGCACATGAATATGTAATGGCAGCATAGGAAGGACAAGGCAGCAGAAGTGATTTAAGCTAGAATCCAGGACCAAGTGAATAATGTTACATTGAGAGGAAGCTACTACTAGTACTAACTCCTGTTCATGTTGTTGCATGCAGACCAGGAATATGTATGTCCAGGATTGTGCATTATGACTTATGTGTGTATTTTTTTTAAATTTCTCATCTTGTACCATTCTTGTACTAAAATAGTGCTGACCATAGTACCATTGCTTGTAATCTTTCCCTACTAAAAGAAGAGGGTAACAGTGCCTCATTCCCGTTGGATACACCAGTAGTAAAGTGAGTGTTGTGTGGCCTCCCATCTTCAGATGCAGCTGAGACAAGTGAGGAACCTGAGATCGCGCCACAGGAAACACCTGCGGAACAGGAAACACCTGTAGAACAGGAAACACCTGCGGAGGAACCCCAGGAAACAAGTGTGAACGATAACGCTGACTCAGCAGAACCCGAGGTGACACCCGAGCCAGCATACACAGGTACAGGTACAGTGGGCTCATGTGCAATATCCACCGTATACGTATGTCCCATTTAACAATGCCTCTCATCTTAGCACTGTCTTAACTTCTGTTCTTAAAGACAGGCCAGGTGCTACATGAACACCTACTACATCAGCAAGGAAGAAGGGCCGTACTACATGTCGGTGATGGTTGTCCAAAGTCTCCCACAATAATTGATGTTCTCACACGATGTCTGTTCCTGCAGAGGCAACAGAGGGCCATGACCAAGATTACATGGAAGGTCCCGAGGGTGATGGGGAGGGTGAACCTGCACCACCTGGGACAGGGGGCAAACAGAAGGTGATGAGCTATGAGGAGAGGAAGAGGAAGCGTGAGGTTGACCAGGCTGTCGCTGCTGAATACCAGGACGACAGGGACGACTACAGGTGTGGAGACATTTCACTGTCTGTCTTTACCGGCTTCTGATAACATTTATTAGATGCTAGTGTATGATGGTCGTAGCATAACTGTTGTACAGATATGTTCAAAAGACAAAGGGAAAATTTACACCATAACCCTTTGCATCAATTTCAACATCTTCAGAATTTGTAAACTTGTTCATTCCGCTTATCTTCCAGGGCTCCTCGTCCTCCACCAGTTGAAGAAGAAGAAGATGACATTGATGAGAACACGGTTGTTCTCGACAAATGTAAGTAGCTCTGGTGTATGGTAGTACAGATAAGTGTCTGTTAGTAGCACATTGTTGGCCAGGTCGACATTGCCCCACATCACCTAGAAGATCTTTGCTTATTAACGTATTGAAAATGTTCTTGTATGAAAACCAGATTTTTTAATTGACTTGCGTTCTATTTTCTGCCTGCAGACAACTCTGATCTGCACTTCAAGATCTCCCGTGACGGTCTGAAGGGGTACCCGCTGAATGTGGAGGGCTTTGCGTTCCTGTGGGCCGGGGCGCGGGCCACTTGGGGCGTCAAGGCGGGCAAGGTGTGCTTCGAAGTCAAGGTCAGTGTCCAGGAGAATCATGTGCTTCCTAAGGTTCATTTTAGCTCCATTATACAGTAGGGCAGATCTATGCTGGTTTTCTGTTGTGTATTTGCTGGCTTAATAATGTCAACAGACACAGGCTATGTTGCATGTTGATTCAGTACCACAAGTGGACACAAACGGTTGTTTTAGCTGTTGTACTTGTAAGTGTACGGTACATTACAGTAGTTGCATTTGGGTAAAGCACGTGTTTGTTCTTTTCTGTTGTGTTGGTTCAGTGCTGTCAGTTGTGTGATGTTAGTCTTCTGTTCATCTCAGATAACGGAAGACCTTGATGTGAAGCACCTCCCAACGGATGAGCCAGACCCAGTGGTCAGCAGGGTGGGCTGGTCCATCGACTATTCAAGCATTCAGCTGGGTAAGCAAGCAAAGAAACTGGTACTGATTGTTAGATATCACTTCAGAAACATAAATAGGTCACTGAGCATAAACTTACGTGGTAACACATGTTGTATGAAATCATAATTGGTCAGTTTATGGATCAATTTTTGTCAGGAATGATATTCAATGATTAACCTGGTTTCCCTGATAGTATATTGAGTATGAGTTAGTATTTTGGGTATGAGTTGTCCTAGCATAGGATCTTTGTAGAAATAAATGCTCTTATAGGGAGAACAGTACTACTTAGTGTCAAGTGAATGATAAATATAACCCTTAGGTAGGGACAGGATGAATGAGACACAAAGAAGACCAGAAATATCCCAGATGTAGAGGATTAACCTGATATCTGTTTCACCTACAGGGGAGGAGCCCTTCTCATATGGTTATGGTGGCACAGCCAAAGCCTCGGCATCCTGCAAGTTTAAGGACTATGGGGAGCGGTTTGGTGCTGGGGATGTGCTGGGGTGCTATGTGGTAAGCTGCCTGCCCTGGCAGGATATTAAGTACCATCAGATTCTGCTGCCGATAACATTTTGTGATGAGCTAAAGGGAGACTGAAAAGTTGTGACCACATTTGTGGTATGACAGGTTTCCATTGGCAACTTGCTAGCATCATTGGAATAGTGGATATGTTGTAAAACCTCAGCTGTGTTGATGGAAAAGGCTGTTGTACAGTCAGTACTGACAAGCCTTTGTAATGATCATGCCACAGGATTTGAACAAGGAATATGACCATGTCTGAAAGAAGCTGTATTATTTATCCTGACATTGAATTGGTGTTGATTCAAGAAATCTGTACTTCTTTCAGGACTTCACGGCTGCCCAGCCCACCATTTCCTTTACCAAGAACGGGGAGGACCAGGGAGAAGCGTTTGTGATTGAGGAGGACCTGGAAGGTCGCGGTCTCTTCCCGCATGTTCTGTGTAAGAACCAGTCTGTGGAGTTCAACTTTGGGCAGCTGGTAAGTGGCTGGCCATGAGGCCAGGTTGAGGTTAGAGGTTGATTCCTGACTGATTCCTGATGGGAAGTCATGATGTTGCTAGTCTGCTGTTCAGTTTAACTTCACCCTGAGGGAGTAAATTGCTTTTGGCTTACCTGTATGCGTGTCTGTCAGTCTGTGTTCCTGACTTCTCTGAATGCCAATGTTGGAAGAATTATTTCCCAGTTACATTAGATGTATGTGCACCTGTATGTAGCATCTGTTCTTCTTGACACAGCAGGTGGAAAGTTTGATCCAAATACATTGTAATTTTGAAGACATGTTTCTCTCTGTGTGCCTGTTCCAGGAGGAGCCTTGGTTTCCCCTGAAGGAAGGGTTTGAGCTGATCGAAAAGATCGCGGTGGAGGAGAGGGTGAGAGGAACCAAGGGGCCAGAAGCTAAGAAGGATGCAGAGGTAACATCAAATGTGTCATGGTCATGTCTAAATGTTTCACATCCTTAATTAAGTCTTGCATAAAATTAATGTACTATTACTATTGTAGTCAATATATTTAATTTTTGTACAAGGTCTTCCATCCTCATGGGAAAATGAAATATGATATATTATTCAAAGCAAAAAGCAATTTTTTTCTCGAACCTAAAAAGTAGGTCCGTTTCTGAAAACTGGCATTTGTTGGTAAAAGAGTGGCTGTGCCAGCTGTCCAGTGATGGTGGGTGGTTTTTGTGTGACTGGACTTGAACCATTCTCTTTGTCTTCCATAGACTGCAGGGAAGTCAACCGGTCCGGAGGTAACTACCAGAAAACAACCAGTACACATTCTGTCATTTCTCAGCTTTGACAACCCCCCTCCCCTCTAAAAGTTACTTCAGCACAAAAATACAAGTAAAAAAACGGGACTGCTGAAAAGCTAGCAGCAGCATGCTTTAAGATTTTCCAGACTCTTAAGCAAGATAATTGAGTCTCAGGAAACGATAAAGATGACTGTCTTAAGCCATAAGAAACAGTGCACCTTATACTCTACTCCACAG